TTTATTTATTTATTTATTTATATATATATTTTTAAAGAGTTTTCTAAATCATTCTATAAGCTTCTTTTTTTCTTTTTTCTGCGATAGGGTCTCACTACATAGTTCAGGCTGGCCTTGAACTTACCATGTAGCCCAGGTTGGCCTCAAACCTGTAACAATCTTTCTGTCTCAGCCTCCCCAAGTGTACCACCATGCCCAGCCATTCTATGAACTCCTCTGACAGACATTATACAGAAGCTTCTATTTTTGAATGTGTTTTTTAGAGAACTAGAATAATTTCTTCCATCAGTGTTTGGTAGAATTCACTGGTAAGGCCCTCTAGATCGGAGACTTTGTTTGATTTGTTTTCTCTGATATTGGTTTGCCCAGAGGGTCTATTTCTTTTTGTGTAAATTTTGGCAGATTGTGTCTTCCAAGGAATTGGAGCATTTAATTTAGGTCACCAAATTTTTGGCAGAAAGCTAATCATAGCATTCTTTTATTATTCTGTTGTGGAGTCTCATATTTCTGACATTGTGTTTTCTTAGCCCCCTAGCTAGGGTCTTACTGTTCTTTATCAATTTTTCAAAAAAATAACTTTTGGTTCTGTGGACTTTCTCTATTAAAATTGTCTTCTCTTGAAAATTTGTAACATATTTATTGTTGTATGTTACCCTGTTTCTGTCTTTGCTTCTGATTTTTGTTTTTGCATTTGTTTTTACTCTTCAAAATAAAATAAAATTAAATTAGAAAAAAATGTTTTCAATTTCATTGATTTCTATTCTACTTTTTGTTGTCTTCTGTTTGAGACTTAATTCACTCTTTGTTTTCTAGCTTTGGGTGTGATTTGAGATCTTCTATTTTATTTTTTATTTTTATTTAATTTTCTATTCATTTTAATGGGAAAGACAAAATAGCAATGAAAGTTTCAAAAACAGGTTAGTAGAACAGTTACAATAATTAATACATTGAATATTGCTGTCTTCATAGTAGTTATTTAGAGGACAAGATGTAGAGATGAAATCTTGTCTAAACACTATTAATACAAACCTTTCTTCTCATTGAACTAAGAGAAAGTAGCTATATATCCTAACTATCTTGTATATACATGTATTTTTTTTCCACTACAAAATGGTACTTTATTTATAATCCTCTTTTTTGTTTTGCTTTGTCAGAGATGGGTGTTCCATTGCTGTTAGAGAAACCATATTTGGAGAAGTCTTTAAAGGGTTTTTCCATACTTGATGCCAGTCCAAATACTGTAGTTCTTGAATTCAGCAAAAGAACCCAATATAGTCCAATAAACCATAACAGTAGTGAGTTACCAGCACAACTGGCAATTGTCCAAAATTGTTGAATGGAGCCTTTTATAGTTCAGTATATTAATATAGCTTTACTTTTTATACCTCATGGTTACACTTTGCTGGATGATTAAGACTAAGTTAAAGCAAGACCTGTATAACTAAAAATGCACCTCTTGCTATCTGATAAGATCAGTCAAATCCCCTCAGGATTTACCCTGGAACCATGTAGAGCACCTTGTGGACCTTCTGTCACGGTCAGCCATGTGGATGAGTCACGGCCATTGCTTGACCAGTTTGCTCTCTGTGAAAGCCTGAGAGAATGTTTTTCTCTAGGTGACTCTCCTTAGGTACACTATGCATCAGCAATCACCTTCTTCTGTGGCCTCATAATCTCCTTGATCAGAAAATTTGGGACACCACTTAGTTACAGGATGTCACAGCAGAGGTTCTCTTATGTCCTGAGTCCTCACTAACCTTGAAGTGCTAGGGCCAAAATATTGGCTATCTAGTTCTTCTATTTTAAATGTATGCATTCAATGCCATGAATTTCTAAGCACTGCTTTTGTGGACTCCCACAAATTTAGATAAGTGGTTTTACATTTTCACTTAAATCAAGATTATTTTTGACATTTTTTGTGGTTTTAGGGGTCAAACCCAGGGCCCTGTATTTGCTTGGCAAATATTCTACTACTGAACTATAACCATAGCCTTAATTAAAAATATTTTAAAAATAGTTCTAGCTTTCTTTCATCTGTTATTTATAGAAGTATGTTAATCTTCAAATATCTTGAATATTTCCAGTTATTAATTTCTAATTTAGTTCCATCATGCTTAGAGGGCAAATATTTTATCTTTTCTTCTGTTTTAAGCCTGCTAAAATGCGTTTTATGCTCAGAATGTGGCCTCTTTTGGTTAAATGTTCCACGTGAGCCTCAGAAGAATGTGTATTTTGCTGGCGGGGTGAAGTAGTCTATAGATGGTTATTGCAGATAGTAATGTCAAGTTCATTCAGGCTCTGATTTTCTGCCTGCTAGTTTTGTCTGTTACTAGAAAGATGGGTGAGAAGTTACAATGATAAAAATGGAGTCACCTATTTCTCAATCCAGTTCTATCAGATTCTATATCCACCCCCCTTGTTTTTCTTAGATGGGGTATTGCTGTGTTACCTAGGATGGTCTTAAATCTCCTGGGATCAAATAATCCTCTTGCCTCAGCTTTCTGGGTAGCTACCAAGACATAATTCTTTTTTCAATCTGTTTATTGTGTATGCAACCCAAACTTCAATTTAAGTGCTGTTTTAATTTAATCTAATTAGTTTTTTAAATTTATGTATTTGGCACAGTGTTTTCCTACACAGCTCAGATTCATAGTGATCCTCTTGTCTCAGCCTCCCCAGAGCTGGGATTACAGGTATGTTCCACCACACCCAGTCTCAGTGGCCAGTTCGGGGCACAAGGGACAGGCTGGCATAGCATACGGTAGGGGGGATCGAACCCCAGGTCCTTGAGCTTGCCAAGCAGGTACATAGACCACTGAGCTAGCTCCCTGGCCCACTGTTTTAATTTTATTACTGGATTTCATAACCTGACAATTGATACATTTTATATCATTTTAGGTATTTAATGAGATACTTAGAAATGCCTAGAAAAACCAATATTCAAGGGTTAATTTTGTTTATAATGACAATAAATTACTTTGTCATCTTCTTTGGTTCAAAATCCAGCTTTAAACCTGAGGAAGGCTTTCAAGTCATGGTCATTAAATGGTGATTTTTTTTTTATTATTCTAAAATAAAGATAACATTTATTATCACAATTTGCATGAAAACACAGCTTTACAAAAATGATTTTTACCTTTTTGCCTCCTTGTACCTCTGGAAGCAACATGGGTCACCAGCAACTCTACTGGAGCCACCCGAGGAAATTCGGCCAGGGCTCCCGCTCTTGCCGCGTCTGTTCGAACCGACACGGTCTGATCCGGAAATACGGGCTGAACATGTGCCGCCAGTGTTTCCGTCAGTACGCGAAGGACATCGGCTTCATCAAGTTGGACTAAGTGATCTTCCTTCGATGGATTATCCAGGCCATACAGATGCTCAATGAAAGAGACCATGCAAACTCTTTGTACATAAAATAAAAATTTTAAAAGAAAAAACAAACAAACAAACAAAAATGATTTTTAATAGAAAAATACTTGTTTTACATCATGATATTTTTGGGAAACAACCCACTATTGCTGTATCTCCAGCTAAAGCTTCAAAGAAACTAATTTTCATCATCAAAATACTCACTATTTACCACCACCTATTTTTGAAAAAAAGTTTAGTGTGTTCGGAACAGACCAAAGCATTTGCTCCTTTAGCTTACATGCCTGGCGGTCACTTGTGTGTAACACACCGTGACAGTCACAGGACAGTGGTGCTGCAGCGACCCTGTCAATCACTTAGTGTACAATTCTTTGTACAGAGGGGGAAGCTAAGGTCAGGGGTTGGGAGGATCTTCACACGAGCCCCCACTCCAAGGTTCTTCCTGAGCTCAGTGACTCACCTCCGCCGCTCCAACTCTTCCTCAGCTTTTCTCTCACACACGCTCACTCCCGGCTCGAGATGGCGGCGGCGGCGGCGGCGGGGGACTCCGACTCCTGGGACGCAGACACCGTGGAAGACCCGGTGCGGAAGGTGGGTGGCAGCGGCACCGCCGGCGGGGACCGCTGGGAAGGCGAGGACGAGGACGAGGACGTTAAGGATAACTGGGATGATGAAGATGAGGAGAAAAAAGAGGAAGCAGAAGTAAAACCAGAGGTAAAAATTTCAGAAAAGAAAAAAATAGCAGAGAAGATAAAAGAGAAAGAACGGCAACAGAAGAAAAGGCAAGAAGAAATTAAAAAGAGGTTAGAGGAACCTGAAGAACCTAAAGCGCTAACACCAGAAGAACAATTAGCAGATAAACTGCGGCTAAAGAAATTACAGGAAGAGTCAGACCTTGAATTAGCAAAAGAAACTTTTGGTGTCAATAATACAGTTTATGGAATAGATGCTATGAATCCGTCTTCAAGAGATGATTTCACAGAGTTTGGAAAGTTACTAAAAGATAAAATTACACAGTATGAAAAGTCACTATATTATGCCAGTTTTTTGGAAGCCTTAGTTCGAGATGTGTGTATTTCATTGGAAATTGATGACTTGAAAAAGATTACCAATTCAAGGTTCTTCCTACAATTCATGAAGTTATCACAAAGGCTTACAAAGAAAATCTAGTATCTTCACTGCCATCTATTCCTCTGTGCTGACAGCAGTTCTGGTTTATTCAGATTAAGGAAGAAATATTAAATGCTTCTGAAATGGTATGAAAACTCACTGTCAAGGGCACTTGAGTCACAAGCTGGCTCTGTTTCCCAGTTTTTTTTCCCAAATGACTCAAGGAGGTGGCAGAAAACGTCAAGCCTTCCCCGACTTGTTTTCTTGGATAAACTGATGAGGAACAACAGAGTGCTGCTGTCATTGTGTGAGCCAGTTTTAAGGAAACTCATGTAAGAGCTGATGGGTTTTTTTTTTTTTTTTTTTTTTTTTGACAGACTCCATGACAGTTCAAAAGGTGAAAGGAGTGATGTCATGTCTCCTCAAAGTTCCTATGTTATAATTTCTACTGTCCTATGAAAGTCTCAAAGAAAGTAGTCCCCCAAATAGAGTCAGGCTTAGTCTCCCCCAGTACGACATGCTCGTGACCTAAATGGTGATCTTTTAACCAGTAGCAGTTTGGTTACCAATTATTCAGAGGCTCTGTGTGAATGTCGCCTCCTTGCGTGTTAGTATTTGCACCCCACTTGGCCATCTTCACTGACAGAGAAGAATGTGCAGATGTGGGCTGTATTTTGGACAACCTGTATTTCTCTGGTCTGTGCAGGTTGGGTGAGGGGATTGCTTCACATAAGGCTATGCATTTTAAGTTAGGGCTGTGCAGGAAGTGGGATCGGGATCGCTGTCCTTGTTACTGTGACTATGATCCACTGCTGCTGTGAAGCAGGCCATCTTTGCCTGACACCTTCTGCTTCTTGCTCATCCCATAACCAAATGAAAAGCTTGATATCCTACTAAGACAGATCCTACTGCCATATAGCACACCACGGAGCTGCAGACATTGTGGGAGGCGACACCAGACCATTCCTCAGGAAGGAGTGCCAGTTCTCAATGTGTGTGCCACAAAATGCCAAGGAGCATCTAGAGTCTTTTTTTTTTTTTTTTTAAGCAGCCATGAAATTGGACTCTGGCTGGTGGGCTGCTAACAAGAACGAATTGGTACGGAGTGTGCATAAACCTCAATGGCTTGTACTTACTACTTGAAATAACCCATTGCAGTAGGGAATGTGCAATGGGGTCCTGTTTATCCATCTGCCTCTCAAGGTTACTTGTGTAGGATCTGCTTAATTGATAGCTTGTGGGGCTTCAAGTTGACAAGACTTCCAGATATGGGGCTTGTGTCATTTCTTTTAAGGAAGTTAGGCTACCCAGTGCTTTCACTACACGATCATAGTTTTTCTTCCTGGGGTTAAAGGCCAACATGTGAGGATCATGAGTACCACAGAAGGATGGCTTAAAAATGACAACTTTTCTAGGAGACTCCAATGTGGATTTCCATGTGGGCATGAGTAGATCCACTACTTGAGCTCCAGGTGCTCTTTCATCAGCAGCTGTTACTCCCAGGGTTTGAAAAGCAAATGCACAGAGCTCACAGTTCACACATGGTAGGCCTAACATGGGGCCATTTCAAAAAGTCACAAACTACCCTGCTGGTACTAACACAGGTATCTGCTATTCGCAAACTCAGTTGTTTGCACTAGGAAGTCACAGTCTTGTATTGGGATGCATTTTGCACAATTATGAGCAGGCTGGGAAGATGAAGATAAAGATGGTGTTAAGATACCACTAAGCCCTGGGGTAAGAGAAAGCCTTACAAGCTTTCTCAAGCAGGTTCCTCGAATAGCTTGGTTTTGGATGCCTTTGGGCACTGGAATAAGACTGCTGAGCAGTTTGTCATTCTTCAGTCTGTGCAGCTCTGCCACTCTAAGGTTACTTGCATAGGATCTGCTTAATTGATAGATTGTGGGGCTTCAGGTTGACAATGGGCTCCATCACCGGTCTCCAGAGCAGAATGATGTCCATAGTTTGTGACTTCAGAGTGAAGTTGCTTAACAGCAGGAGGGCAGGGATGGTTCAAGAGTTGGTACGATGTAACTGCTGCCATTGCCTGCTCCATTCTGGGATTACTGGGCAGGCAGTGACCAAAGGGCCTGTGTGACCTGGCAGAGCACACATTGTGGGCCTTGACAGCCAGAACAGTTCTGATGCAGCAGCTTATGCATTTTGGAGATGTCACCTTTCTCAGATTTGTTTGGATTTGTTTTTTCACAATCAGGGGGATTATAACTTGATGATCTGTGCAAGGTAGACAATAAATGCAAGGAGGTTTCACTTGCTTTTCTTATTTTTTAAAGAGAATACAAAATAGTAAAAGAAAAAGAAGTATTAGAAATGATACAGGATTTCACTAAACAAAATTGGACAATGGTTATTGTGTGATATAATATTATCTTCAAATTAATTGTTTAGATTACTGGGTATAAACATGCAAAATTGGGGAAAGAACCATTTCAGCAATAACTGCTCCTTTCGATAGACCAGCAAAAATCAGCAGTACAATTATCAAATATATCCTTTATATCCACATAAATATATCTTTTCCCCTTTTTTTTGTCCTTTTCCTCATCCCAGTTTTTCCTTTCCATTGAACAGGTCCTGTCCCTTTCACACTGTTGTTCCTTTCAGATTTTATTTATTTTTTCAGGTTCTTTCACTTGAAACAATATAGTGTTTGCACTTACCAATACAGTCTCTAGTTGTATCTATTCACTTATAAAAGCCTTGAGTTTATCTTTTTCTAAAAAATACTGATTTTTTTTAATGTATTTAGTACAGGGTCTACAGGGTCTCATTATGTAGATCCAGCTTGTAGTGATCCTGTTTGCAGCCTCCTAAGCACAGGGATTGCAGGTGTGCACCACCACGCCCAGTCTCAGTCCCTGTCTCAGCGTGTCCCGGGATGGGGCTGGCATGGCACGCCAGGGATCTAACCCCAGTCTCTGAAGCAGGCGCTTTAATCAGCTATCTGGCTGGCCATTATTTACCTCTTTGGTACAGGGTCTGAACAGGCCGCTTGGACTTGTAGTGATCCTCCTTCTCAGCCTTCCCAGCACTGGGATTACAAGAGTACCACCACACCTGGTTTCAGTGTTCTGCAGGCACACATGGGGTTCTGGGGCTGGCAGGGCAAGTGGCATCAGGGATTGAATGCCAGTCCTTGCACTTGTCAGATGCTTAGACACCAAGCTATTTCTCCAGCCTGAGTTTATCTTTTTTATAGCTGAATAATACTCCACTGTGTAAAAATACATCTTCTTTACTCATTCTTCGGTTGATTGGCATTTGGGTTGTTTCCAAGATGTAGCTATGACAAATTGCACTGCTATAAACATGGGTGCACATATATCGCTGTGGTATGATTCTTTCAGTTCATTTGGAAAAAATATCTAGGAGAGGAACAGCTGGGTTGAATGAGACTTTTTTTTTTTTTTTGAGGTTATGAGCAGAATATATTTATTGAGAGAAAGAGAGCTCCTGTCCAAAAGAGGGACAGGAGGGGGGCCCAAGCGGGTAGTTCCCCAGGAAGCTGTCTCTTCCAGGGACTTTTATAGTGTAAAACCATGTGAGGCTAAGGTAAAGAGAATGGTAACTCACTTAGGTGGGCAGGAGGTGGGACAAAACTATGGTACAGGGTCTTTTTCTGTTGGTTGGAATGCGGGATAGGGTCTCTTTCTGTTGGGGGTTGGGCTAATGAAATTTGTTACCTAAGCAAGTCCCAATTCAGAATTTATGAAAGAAAAGCAAACTCATACTTCCGTCCAATGATCTCGGTGGGAAACTCCTAAATGATACAAGGAGAAAAACTGATCTCAGGTGGGTGACCTCTAAACCATACAGGGAACCTCCAAATGACATCGAGAAAAACAGTCTCCCGACCTGACCTGCTCGAGTTCATGTTCTCTAAAGCCGAAGAATGAATTTTAGGAACAAAGGGAGGTTATGAGCAGAATATATTTATTGAGAGAAAGAAAGTTCTTCTCCAAGAGAGGGACAGGAAGGGGGCCCGAGCAGGTAGTTCCCCTGAATGAGACTTCTAATCTTAGCTTTCTGAGGACTCTCCATACTGATTTTGACAGCAGTTGTACCAGGTCTGCCATTCCTACCAACAGTGGAGAAGGGTTCTTTTTACCCCACAACCCCTCCAGCATTTATTGGTTGACTTCTTGATGACAGCCTGTCTCAGTTACTCTTCTCTCATTTCTGGGAGAAATATCCAGAATTAAGGAAGGAAAGGTTTATTTGGCTCAGTTTGTGGAGATTTCAGTCCAGTCAGCTGGCAGAGGGCAGCAGTTCATGGTGGCAGAAAACAGCAAAACAGCAAGAGCAAAAGGACAAGAGCAGCAGCAACATTGGCTACAGAAAGCAAGTCTCTCTCCTCCTTGTCTTGCCTTCAGACTATCTGCCCCAGGTTGGGTGTAACACTCACAACCATAATCCTAGCAGTGGGGGGTCAGGGAGATGGCTCAGTGGAATAAGCGCTTCCCTGGCAAGCGGCAAGGGCCTGAGTTCAATCCCTGGTTCCACAAAAAAAAAAAAAAAAAAAGATGAATCATAATCCTAGCAGTACTCAGACTCATAATCCCAGCCTTGGGTCATGAATTAATCACAAACTCTAGAACTGTGCCCCAGTGACTGCATGAGCCTTTGGGAAGGACAACTACACACAAACCAGAATACAACCATTTTTTTCTGGGGTAAGATGGAATCTCAGTGGTTTTAATTTGCATCTCTTTAATGACCAATGATGTTGAACATTTTTTTCATATATTTATTTTTCATTTGGATTTTTTCATCTGAGAAGTGCATATTCATCTCAGACGCCTATTTTTGGATTGTATTTTCAATGGGGATGGGCTTGATTTTTTAAATTCTTTATATATTCTAGATAGAAGTCCTTTGTTTGAGGGACTCAGCTATAATTTTCTCAAAATTTGTGGGTTTTCTTTTCATTCTGTGGGAGATTTCTTTTGATATGCAGAAACTTTTCAAAAAGATGAGATCCCGAGCCAGGAAGATAGCTCAGTAGAAAAAGATGAGATCTCAACTGTTGATTCTTTGAA